CAAAGAACACAATGCTGTTCACGGTTAGCGAAGCATAAAGTGAAATACAGTGGAGATGTTTTAATACACACCCCTCTAGCAAAAGGTTAGGCTGAGAGCTTACATCAAAACAGAAAAGGAAATCGGTTTTCAGGTGATTCTAACCACCTCCACTTAACAGGGAGAGCTGATCTAGCAAACCTGAGTCAGGAAACGGAGTAATCAAAGAAATCAAATACAAACACACTTCAGCAGAGTGCCACTTAGCATGTTTCTGTAAATAGCTATTACACAGTGAACAGATGTTTGGGGCATGCCATCAGCAGCTTTTTTACAGCAGCCTCCTAATTCAGCCTGCCTCTCAGAGCCTCTTTGTTCTTACCTGTCTCAGGCAGGAGCTGCCTTTGGCACCTGGGTGGTCTTGCTCAGATCCCTGCTACCTCTCCTCGCCTTGGGAGCCTTCTCAGCCCAGGCAGCCAGATCATTAGTGCTCAGCAGCAAAGACCTCTTGTTGCATGAGGTAGCGGTTTCCCAAGCAGATAGCCAGCCATCGGGCCTCAGGTAGGAGGTTTGGGGCTGCCTAATGTTTACCCAGATGCTAGTAGCCTCCTGGTAGTATTTTAGAGCCTTTTCTCAGGTGAACAAGATGCTAAACTATGTATTTCTCTATGGAGGATTGCAAGGCCCGCCTGTCTCCAAGAGCGGCCAGCTGTGCATCACAGTAAGTTGATAGTAAATTTATAGTAAGTTCATACTAAGCCTTGTCAGAAGGAGCTTTAAGGGATCGCTTCTGAGAGGCCCAGAACTCCCACAGCCTCCTAGATAACTGAGGATCTAAGCCTGACTGTGTGGTCTTGTCTTTCAGAAGAGTTGTGGCAAATTAGTGAGCTTTGAGCATTATAAAAAGAAAAAGCAGAAACATTTTGTCCTATTTGTAGCCCGTGAAAATTTTTACTAGCTAATGATGCACCATATAATGAAGTAATTGTTTATTAGACTTGTTTTTCAATACAACACATTGCTGTTTTCTTTCATTACGAGGGAGGATATTTAGGTCTGTTAGTCACTTTTTTATTTGATTTGTCTCTGTGGAAATTGTGTTATGTCTTTAATCTCATGTGTTTCCTTTCCATGACCGTACTCTGCTTCTGCCTTTTTTTTTTTTTTGTACCTCCTTTTCTTTCCCACTTGGGGCAGGGGGTCTGTGTGTCTTAAAAGCAGGTCTCTCACTCACCAGTAGTCCAGTCTTGCTCTTCTTTCAAATACCAGGCAGACTTGCACCAAATCCATAATTTGAAGCAGTAAAACAAGAGCTGTTCGTTACTGCAGATCCCTATGCCTGTTGCACAGTAGGCTGGCATTGCAGTGAGAGCAATCTAGAGTCTTTTGTGTCACCTTGCCGTGATCAGGTCCTCTCAGCAAATGCCTTGATGCTTTATGTTACTGAACCCTCTTTAAATGGTGAATTTTGAGGATCAAACCCTTAAACCTCGGCTGAGAAATCAACCAAATAAGATGCTGCAGGTAAACTTCTAAGGTAGCCTTATCTAACCTAACATACAGCCTTTCTTAACCTCAAAGCCTCGGCCAGCCTGCTGATCAGGCTGTCCCACGCAATCAGAAGCTGCCTGGTGCTGGACGTGGCACCGCTCAACTTGACAACTGCAATTTGCATATGCCTGCTATTCAATAAGCTTCTTGTCTGTATGAAATACTTTGGGTTTGGGTTTTTTTATGGTGTTTTTTGCCTGCAGGCTAATCATAAGCAGTGCTTGGAGTATTTCTTACCCTGCAGTCAAGAAAGCCCTCCAGCTAGGGACAGAGAGGGGCCTGGAAAAAGGTTAGGAGTCTTTCTTCACTCTGTGCCTTCTCACTAAACCCAGATAAAGACTGTAACTGATTCTGGATGGGTTTGGACCAGGCCTTACAAGCCTAAGGAAAGCCATCACATGGAGCAAAGAGAAAGAAACCCCAGGAACGTATTTTTCTAGGTTAAGGTTCTCTTGTAGCCAAGAGGCACTGCAGAAACTAGCCACCAAAAATTGCAGGATTAAGGAAAACACTTAGATGGAGAAGGAGTAGAGAAAAACTTTCTGTACCTGAGGGAGGAGGGAAGGGAAGTGGGTTATGGAGAGTTGGTGA